CATTTTCATTTTCATTTTCATTTTCATTTTCATTTTCATTTTCATTTCATTACCTACCTTAAGAAAAAGTGGCGCCTTGGCTACACTTTAACACAACTTATTAGCACACAAGGTACTAGTATATTTCATTTCACTGGTTGACTTATTCTACACATAAAATTTAGCACAAAATATAGTATTTGATAATAGGTTCAAAATTTTAGGCAAGCAGGTGATAATCGAGTTATATGGACGCCTCGCCACTGTTACCCACTTTCGCTGTCTTTGTTACATCTATTTGCCAAGTTTCTGAAATCTAATAAACCGGATTCACGCCTACATTGCCACCCTTAGAGGTAGGATATTATTTTCTTCATATTTAAATGGAACCGCTATTGAGGTACTCCCTTTTCAACAAAAAATAGGATATTATCGGAATAATCGCATTAGGAAATACACACAAAAAATGCAGTCGAATTAAGAACCTCCTCCTTTTCAAGTCTGCTAAAAAGGAAAGCACCATCGTAAAAACCAACATTTACAACCCATAACAAGGCTCAGCTATTACCACAAAAGGTTGTTTGTAGGATTAGATGAGCAGTGCATCTCTTGAAACATTAATGTTAAGAACAGAGTATTAATTAACACGTGCTTTAAAATGGAGAAAATAAATATTGCGAAACATTGAAACTCGTCGAAGTTATTAGCTGATTAGGTAACACGTATTAAGCGAAGAAAGTAAATAGCATTTAAAATTATTACCTTATACCTTTAACATTTAACATATAACGATTTAATATTGAATTTCATCAGAACTTGTTTTAACGAAATCCTATCTTTTTTTTTATACTATCAAGTGATGGGACATACAGGTGCCTCGTAAGCAACACGTCTATCTATAACAAATGCACTTCTTATCTCTATCGTATCTATGGCATACATTTGCCATTGTGGTGTAAGGATTTGCCAAATAGCATAAGGCACCTTACGCCGTTTGGATCGAAGTTTGGCAAATGCCCCCTTCTTAACATTAAACGTTAAACGTGAAAGGAACACTGCCACTGCGCTCGTCACACTGAGACATAAAGTTGACAAGTCCAAGTGCCAGTAGTATTATTGGGGTTTGTAGCATCTGAACCCGGGGTCGGTTTAAAATTGCAACGAAACCCAACTGGGAAACGAGCCCAAATGGGAGTATCGTGTAATCCCGGAACTGGTTGTTTGTCAAAAACAATTAAATTTGAGTCACTTCCAATCCCGGGTTCAGGTGCACCGTCTCGAGGTGACATTAAATTTGTATAGTAGTAATGCCCGTAAAATTACAAACGTTTAGCATTCGATAATATTTAAATAGAATTTTAAATGTGAGGCAGTAAGTCAATAGGTCACGTCAATATACATCGCACATGACAACTAACATGGTATTATCTCAAAATAGCTTTAAGTTATATTAATATTACCAGTTTAGTTTCAAAGCGACAGTGTTGTCTTGTCACTTTGAAATTAAATCGTATATGAATGACACATCAGTATAGCGAAATTTTGGAGATAAATTGTTAATATAACGCAATTTTGAGATAAAATATAGCATAACGCAATTTTTGAGATAATACTATCTTAGTTGTCAAGTGCTACATTTTCTTTCGTTGCTCACAATTTAAAATTTCCTTTAAAATATCTAAAATAATAGCATTGACTTACAAATAAATAATAGGTATTAATTATATCGACATATTTCTTTTACAATATAACAGGACGAACAAGTCGTGCGCCTGATGGTAAGCTACACGCCTGTCCATAGCAGTTGTAGTACCACTCAGAGCTTTAAATCCCAAAGATCTTACGGGCACTGCCACTGCGCCTGCCACCCTGAGACTTTAGTGGAAAAGTCCCATGTACTTGTAATTTTACCAGCACCTTTACTCTTCAAAACGGAGTTGCATGCTCACCTTATTACTTAGTGGTAGAAATAGGTGAGGTGGCAAACTACTAAACTACTAAATCTTTTCCCAAGCAAATTGATTAAGAAATGTATATAAAAATACAAGTTATATAAATCACTTATATGACAAATTGGTAATATTGTTCTTATTGGTTTTAAATGAAAAAGAAAATATATTTTTAATTGTTTGCAGGTTGTGAGAAGAATGTAGCTGAACAACAATAATGTCGCAGCGGGACTTTTCTGAGGTTAGTACGACAATTTACATAAATTACATTTTATTAATTGACTTTTAACGATTTAGACCCCCCAGCTGTGGTATTTAAATTTCAATAACCGTTAACTCGATAAAAGATAAAGGGTATGCTGAATCTTTATTGTCACTTTCTGTTGGTCATTTTTTTTGTTTTTGGAAGCCGATTCGGCAGATAATGAATTTACTTCGCCTGTACTATTTATTATGCTTAAAATCTTTCAGCGTTATAATACAATAAATACAATAATTTTATACTTACAAACTTTTGATTTGTACTTTTAATGTCGTACTCGTGTTTATTTTTTTTTTTAATAACATATAAGTGCGCATTTGACCTCCATTTCATAAGTGACAATGAGGTCGACTATGGAGCATGAACACCTAAATAATGCCTGTTCAGTCTCGCCTTGAAAAAGCTCAAGTTATAACGTTCAGGGAATAAGTCTGTAGGCAGTCAATTCCACTCAATAGCCATTTAATGTGACAATTAAAAGAGGCCATTAATGCTTGTTGGTGGTAACTTCCAAATACCATATGATACACGTCGTTGCATCCCTAATTACCGTATTTGACATTTTAGTTAACTAAAATCGTAAAACATATGTAGTTTCCTAGTAGTGTAACACCCACCTGTTCGGCGTGTCAATGCCTACACGTGTCACTCGTAGCGTAGGGTTGTCACTTTATTAATTTATTTTTTACAGGTTGCAAAATACAATTCGAAATTATAATTTTTTTATAAAAAATCTATTTGCCAAGTTTTATTGAAATCGTTACCGGAAAGTGCGCGAAACCGGATGCATCCCTTAGTTTGGCAGCCTTAGAGGTAGAATACTTTTTTCAAATTTAAGTGGGACCATTACTGAGGTATACTCTTTTCAATAAAAAAAAAGAATCATGAAAAACGGTTCACAAATGTCGGAGTAATCGCGTAACATACACATAAAAATACTGTCGAATTGAGAACCTCCTCCTTATAAAAATCTTATAAAAATCGGTTAAAAATTAAGGTATTTATCACAGTATTGTTGTGCTATATTAAAATAACCTTATTCAAATGTAGTACTTATATATTAATATTTTATGGCAGCACCTCGAATTAGTATCTCAATTTTTATGTGAGTTTACATATTTTAACCACGTCTATACGTCTTTTAATTTTATGGAGTATTACTTATTTGACAGTAATTCTTTCGGACAAATGTCGGACGGAGAACGAGAGTAAATACCCTGCACTGTGCAACTCGAGTGCACCGCGAGATTGTGCAAATGTGTGCGTCCTTACACGGCTCGCGGCGGGCATGCACATATACAAACCGCTACACAACTTGTTTTATTGTACTGTGGTAAGACGATCTTACTTTTCTTTCAAAAGTGTACATTCTCCATTAATCGCTGATCATGTACCTTTTTACATATCATTTATATTTTTAATAATAATAATAATAACGCACACACTCAACATAGCCCCGCACTAGGGAAACCCTGTGTCGCGGGTGCCATGGACACACACATAGACAACCACAAATTACACCTATAACTGCTTTGACACGACATACAGTCCAAGATGTCAATTACTAAACCGAAAATATGCTGCTTGACACTTTTATATAAAATGATTTATGCTAGCAAAAGTTATTAAGAGGTACGATATAATCTTTCTTCTATTGTTGAATTTTCGTCAACATCATCTACTGTTCTACTTGTTCTGTTCTACATGACTTTCAATATTTTTTGGAGAAATTACACTACTAGTTAATTGTAATAAACTTGTGGAGTAACAAAAAATAATTGTATATCGTGGTAGTAAGACATCATTATATCCATAAAAATTTAATATTGTACACGTAATTATCAAAGTGACATCTCTAGTCAGCCGCTGGCAGTTGTAATAGTACCTGGCTGAGTGAAAAAAAACTTCCGTAGATCACAAATGGCGCTAAGGCAAAAAGTCGTAAAAACCAATAAACGAACATCTGCTACAATCACATAGAAAACTTTGTAAGGCGTGCTGGTTAGTTCCGTTCTAATTAAGCCGGTTCGAAACAATTTTTCTTAGAGTTTGACCTTTATGTTAATTAACCGAATTTAAAAAACGGAGGAGGTCGTCAATTCGACTGTATGTTTTATTTGTATGTATGTTTATGTATTTGTGAACCGATTTTGATGATTCTTTTTTTGTTGAAAAGACGATACCTCGGTAGTGGTTCCATTTTAATTTAGAGAAAAAAATCCACCTATAAGGGTCAACTAGGGGATGAAACCCGTCCCGCGCACTTTCCAGTAACTGATTTCAATAAAATTTGGCAAATACATGTAATTCCACGCACTTTTCAGGTAGTTTTTTAAGTACTTTGTACTGAGATTATTAAATTATCATTTACTGTTACACCTAGGCCCAATAGACCAATTGATATCTCACTTATCTAAGAAGTTGAAATGTTTAACCTACGATGGGTAACAAAAGTGTCTATACGTACGCTCAAGCTAAACCCTGAGAAACGTAACCCTCTTTTTATCTTGGCCTTTATAGGTTAAAAAATTGCCTTGCACTCAAGCCAGTTCACGGTGGGCTGCACTCCCAAGTTCAAAACCCATTTCGTCACTGCATGTCGATTATACTAGTTGCGCGGACGCATTCAACGTGTGAACCTATAACGAAGCGTGACTTGCTTGTTTCTATTGTGTGGTTTAAGTTAGAAGGCACTTGTCAAGAGCATGGTTCACATACAGTTCTTAGGTTTTCGGGAAAAGAGACTTTTTTTATATAAATTGCAAATACTTTTGAAAAGACCAACTTTTCGGCCTTTTTACATGTCTCATGGTCACGGTTCACTAAGATGGTACAGCCATCAACCAGTTATGTCTAATATTAATTGAAAGCGTTCTATTCTGAACTATATCTATAATAATTTCCATAATAGTGGTCCCTGGGCTTGGACCAGTGTCTATAGTTGCAAAAGTTATTAACACCTTATTTTTAATCCATCAAAAACGTTCCAATTTACGCTACATACGATTTACAAAATATTTTATTTTAATAATAAATTAGGTTAATTAAAACGGGAATTAGTATTAACATAAAATATTTTAATAAATTGTTAGAGTAATGAGTTGCAGTCTTATGTCTGCTTGGGATTTTTCGTCATCAAACTCAAATAACTTTTATGTCATAGGTAAGCAAATTACCTTCAAATAGTAACATTGATCTAACTCGACTATTTATTTGTAAGGCAGATTCCACTGACAATAATGAGTAAGAAGGAGTTGCTCTTTGTAAATAAACATTTGTATATATTTACTATTTACAATGTTTATTTCACATATCGGAGACGGAAACGTCATCAGGATCATTCATAATTTTAAACAATATTAGACGTTAAAAGCGACTTAAAGATAATAAGTACTAAAACTGACGGACAATTACAATAATTACATAGTCTTACACTACGCAATTTCTTGTACCATAGTAATGAAACGACTACATCCAGAACACTTAGATCGGAAATAATTTTGAAAGTTCTCTCCCTAACTAGGTCTAAATGAAAATGGAGCCCTGGATTACAACGAAAGTTGTCGGACAAAACAAATAAGAGATCAGTTGAATGCCAGACTTTTTTATATTTTTGTTATACTTAGCGGGGATAAACTAGTCGTGCGCCTGGTGGTAGCGACAGGCCTGTCCTTAGTCCTTTTATATACAGGAATTAGTAGTTGCAGTACAACTCAGAGCTTTAATTGGTAGGTCAATGTTTGAAACGCATAAATCTGAGAAGCAATACCGCGCCCGTCACTGTCAACATAAATTGACAAGTTCCATATGCCTTTTATGTCCCAGAACTATTTTCCTTCGAAACCCGAACGCAGTGATGCTCACATTTCCGGTTGGGGTACTTCCGTGGACGAACACTTTCACAAGGAGTTCTACTACTATTACTAAACTGAATATTGTCACAATCAAGCTGCCACCTGGAAAGAGTAACATTGCAGCATTGGACAATATCATATGCGCTGCAAAAAATGTAGTTAAAAACGATAGTAAATTATCTGCAGAATCAGAATCCCTAAACAAACAGTTAGACATGTGAAACAATAGAAGACATATATCATGTGTGGATCGTGATGCACCAGATTCCGGTTTTACAAACTTATGCAAGTTCCTTAGCCTAGTGGTGATCTAAACTGTACCTATACTGTAATACTGGAAAAGCCCCTAAGAAGGTAAGACTTGTATCAATAAAACTCTTATTTTTATAAATAGTCTTTTACAGTCTGTCTTTTTTGAAGACGGAGAAAAATGACATTTGTGGGCTTGCCAGTTTTCATAAAATTTTAAATAGTCATCTAGGTTGTTCACAGTTTTATCGATAGATTGGGAAAGAATGCAAAATTTTGACAAAAATGTCTGAATTGTGATATTACTACGTTCTAATGATTACCAATTGCGCTGTTGCCTTCTTTATTCTTATTTTGACGATTGGCTTACATGTATCGAAAACAATTTTTATTCACATATATTTTAATAAGAACAGGCAAATTTGATTATCTATATTGAATTACAATGAAAATCTTTAAAACATGTCTCTTCTTTGTATTTTTATAGGCGTAGTTCTAAATGCAGTACATGTGTAATGAACTTACAAACATTGACAATTTCAATGTGCCTATACCTAGCTGTTGAACTAATTATGGAGCGATGATGATTCAAATGAAACAAGTTTGGCTGTTTATTGCATAAGCGTGACCAACATTCAATCGATAGTCGATAGAATATTTGTCGACTGCAAAAGCTCCTTGCAAGCGGGCCTCGCGTCAATGAACTGTCATTTTATGCCATCTTAAATAAAGACAGACCATAGATTACGTTTATCCCCTATTTAACTAATTAATGTGATGATAAGTGATCGCCTTAAAGAGGCCTATAAATAAAAGAAAAATACGTCCGCATAACAATTAACAATAATTTTACTTATTCATTGTGTTACGCCACTT